AGTCCGGATAAAGGCAACTTAATCCTTTGGAACCCAGCAACTAAAGAGGATAAGCTTATTCCGGTGTCTCAGTGCCTTCTACCTAAAGGCATAGATTCTGACATGTTTGGATTTGGGTTTGATCCCATTACAAAAGATTACAAGATTGTTCAAGTTTCAGATTGGCCTTTGGAAGGAGGAGAACATCTAGTTGAAGTATATAATCTTAGTACTGATTCTTGGAGGGTACTAGATGTTTTTGTCCCAGATTTTGAAATATGTTTTGGAGGTTGTACGTCTTATTTGAATGGAGTTTATTATTGGTTAGTTTTTGGCTTGAATGGGATCACAAGGAGCTCTATTTTGAGTTTCGATTTTGGCAAAGAGGTGTTTAGGATGATGCAATTGCCCCCCGCGATTGATTCTTTACATGGACCAATCGATGTTTTTGTTCTTGATCAAAGTCTTGCTTTTGCTATACATAGTTGTGCAACTCGAAAATCTAAGGTTTGGGTCATGAATGAGCATGGTGTTGAAAGTAGTTGGACTGAAAAGTTTGAGATCGGACCACTTGATGAGTTTGGATCCATCTTAGGATCTTGGAGGGATAATGAAATTCTTATTGACACATTTGATGGTCAAGTGATTTCTTATAATCTTCAAAATCAACACATATATATACATGCTCCAAAGATGAGTTACGGTTTTGCTATGTGGATAGTTTGGTTCGTTTGATAGAAGAGATCTTTGGTTTTGACTATGTGGATAGTTTGGTTCCTTTGGTGGGGAGGAGGAAACACAACAAAATATGATGAAGATATATATTTTATTTTCATAATCTCCCTAATTTTTTCTATTTTTTTAATTAATTCATTGACTGTATTGTTTTTGTGTTGCCAATGGATGCAGACAATTATTTATTTTGAACAGAAGTCGTAAGGCTTAAGCATTTCATTGGTGTTGACCTTTTCTTTTCTTACTTGAAATTTTGAACAGACCTTGCATTACATTATTAACATTGGTATTTGATGATGCTGTTAAATTTATATCATTTAAAGTTTAATTATCCTTGGTTAATAATATTGGATCTAATTAATGTTAAATTCAGATCTTCTAATGTTTAACAATATCTTATTCTGTTTATACCTTAAGCAGATTTTAAATCCAAATCATCTTATAAACTATAGTACAGATTATTCCTTGCATTTTTTTTTTTTGCCTAGTCACTATTCTACCCAATTAATATGCAAAATAGGAACCAAGTTTAAAAATTAAAATTCAAATGGAGAATAGTTGATATAATATAATGAACATATATAACAGGAACAAGATTCATATTCCTTAAAATATTAAAAGGGCACAAGATATTTGAGATGCCTTTGTCATTAAATCTCAGTAAAATAAGTAGACACACTATTACAATCATTATTTATATTGGTTTGAACCTCAGCTTCCAAACTCAGCACTAAACTCATCTGCAGTTTTTGCCAACTAAGACCCTATCAAACAATCTCTGAATATTTTTTTTGCCCCCTTAAATATTTTATTTCAACACTAATAATAATAACAATAAATTAGCCCATGGTATAAGAAGGGGTGGGCAAGTTAATCACAGTGGTCTTGACCTTGGTCATCATGTTTATGCTGTTTGTAGTCCCCTGTGATCCAATTCCACTGTCCTTGATACCCTGCAAGCAAAGCAAAGCATTTCTTCTCAGTATTGGATTCATTTGATTTCCTTGCTCAAAACAGTAAAACCTTTGATTTTTTTTTTTTTTTTTTTACCAACAGTGATATGTTCAGAAGTTTCAGAGAATTTGATTGGTTCACTTGGAAGGGGAAATGGTCGGGTCCCCGGGCTGGGGCTGAGTTTATCTGAATCTTTCCTGTCTCCATTGCATCACTGATCAGAATTGCTTTGTTCACATCCTTTGAGAAGACACAACCCTGCCCAGGTTTATGGATCCAAGTTATTTTCATGCTTTACAGAAACATATTCAGGAGACATTTATTAGTGTTACTTCTGATCTTCTTTTTGGTCAAGTCAAGGGTCATTTTAATTGAGGAGCTTAAAATTGAGGAGAGAATTAGTTTTTATCATAAAATCTAACTAACTATACCTGAAGTCCAAAATTGCTAGCATTGCAATGGTGGATTCCTTCTTCAACAGAATTGATTTTGATGACAGGCAAGAGTGGCCCAAAGGGCTCCTCCCAGGCAATTCTCATATCAGGCCTGACATTGTCTAGAAGCAAAGGCCAAATAAGATTTCCTTCTCTCTTGTACTCTTGGCAGAACGTTGCTCCTTTCTCCTTAGCATTCATTACTAGACCTCGATGGAGTTCGCCGATGACTCTGTCACCACCGGAGTGACATCACAGTTATTTTCGGGTGGCCCCACAGTCAGTTTTGCCACCTTGGCCTTAACTTTCTCCACCCAACCATCGGCAACAGATTCCATCACCGGGACAACCTTGACAGCAGTGCACCTCTGATCACTGTTGTTGCATCACATCAACTTATTAGAATATATTGAATCCCACATCAACTAATTAGAAGATTGCAATTTTCTCCAGACCCCTGGAAAAAGCATGAAAAAAAGGCTCGAATGGTACGATCCGCCGTCACCCCAGAATGAAGGTATATAGTCTTAAGGCAATTCCTACCAAATTGGTTTAAGCTATTTAGATAGAAAGACAAACCCAACATATACCTAATCTAATACAAAAATGGGTTTAGCATGCTGTTTTCTCATAAATTATTATCTGCTTTAGTTATTTGAGGAAAAAAAAACATGCATCTAAAAGGGCAGAAAGATGAATATAATTTGCAAATATTTATAGAAACTGTAACCTTGTGCCCTTGATGGCCCAGAGCAAGATATTTTATAGCTTAAGAGAAGCATTTTAGTGTCTTTGGAAAAGGCCTGGGTATGAAAAGGCATTTTACCTGCATGAGAAGCCTCCTTTTATAATGTTTGAAGCTACCAAATCAAGGTAAGCATCTTCAGGTACAATGCAGGCATCTTTTCCTCCCAACTCCATTTGCACAGGGATCATGTCTGCCTTCTTTGAAATCGAAATGTCTTTTTTTTTTTTTTAAATTATTATTAAGGACCCGTCACCAGGTCAGGGATATGTCTATCCATGTTGGTATTTGGTAGGGGTTGGATCATCGTTGGAAGCATATTGCTCCCTTGATGAGATAAACATGGGAGTATGAATAGCTTCTTTTTTTTTACTGTTGCAATTTTTTTTCAGTTAGACAAATGTATATTAATAACATAAATTTAGAGGTAGATACATAAACTTTTTTTGGACCAGATAGATACATAACTTTTTAAAATTAGAAGCAGAATAAAATGTTACGAACTTGACCCTTTATAAATATAATAAGTGAGAAAACCATTTTTATGATATAAATAATAATAAAAAAGTATAAAAAAAACTATGTGCTCTCACTTTTATGAGAATTTTTATGTCATTAGGTGATAGTACTATTTGGCGTACACCCCACTTTCATGTGCTAGGCAAATTTTTTTGGGCTATATACCACTGGCAACAAGCTCATTGACTATCAAATTTTTTTTTAATAAAATTATAAAAAAAAACTAATCTAATAGTTCTTATAGTTTTGTCTAATTTTAAATTAGGTCTTTATAGTTTTTTTTTCTTTTTTATTACATCCTTATTATTTGTTCTGTTAATTATATCAGTCCTTCCGTTACCAAATCCGTTAGTTTGGCATATGAGTAGACTGTCTTCTTGAGTCAGCTACCACCACCTCCCTCAGCTTTTGTCTCTGTCTCTCCTCTCAGTTCAAAGTAAATGCAATTGTCTAAGAAACAAAGGGAAATGCAAAGGGGAAGAAACTTTTAAGAGTTTAATTTTTCATCTACAGAAAGTGGCAAAAAACAAATTTTGATCCACAGAAAAAATCCTTTAGGATGAAGCAATTATAATTGTCGAACAACTTTTCGGGGGAAAAAGAAATAAATAACTTTACCCTCAGATTGTCATATCCGAGCACACATATATGAATCAGCAGGAATTTATCAAAGGATGGCAATAGAACGAGTCAAAGTCTATTAATGTGAGTATACATAGTAGCAGTCCCTTCAGCCAAAATATCATTACAAGACAAAAAGCTATCACGTCAAAATTCAATAGCAGATGACAAAGAAGACCGATTACAATCTCCTACTCCTCCCTCTCTCAAGATTCCAGATATGCCTCACGTTGATGCTCCAGATGACACCTTGCCCATCGCACCTTTGTTTCTTGCCCCTCTGCTTCCTTTTCTTCTTTTTATGATTCTTATGTGATGTTGCAGAATAAGAGGCGGAAAACTATGGCCCAAAAAAGTAGAACATGATCGGTGAGAGATAGATGATCGCGTTTACTTCGAAGGAGACTGAGAGAAGGATAGAGTGAAATAGAAGCTGAGGGAGGTAACAATAGCTGATTTAGGAAGACGGTCTGCTTAGATGCCAAACTAACAGATTTGGTAACAGAAGGACTGGTATAATTAACAGAGTAAATAATAAGGATTTAATAATAATAATAATAAAAACTATAAAGACCTAATTCAAAGGTCGATGAAACTATAAGAAATTAAGAACTGACAGGTTAGTTTTCCTGAAATTATATTCTGATAACTATTTTCTTTTCTTTTTCTTTCCTTTGTTTTTTTAAAATAGTTAATGTTATCTAATGATATAGGGTATTTCTGTTATCGACGTTGAAATACTTTTAACTTAAAATTAAAATTTAATTATTCAAACTCGTAAAAGTCATCTCATAGATTTTCAATCATCTCACCTAATAAAATCTGTCACTTGTATCACCGAAAACAAAAATATCACTTAGCAAATTGATCCTCAATTGCTTATTAAAAAAAAAAGATCCTCAATTTCTAGATTTGAGTTCTAGATAAGGACTGAGGCTTAGGTCCCTGCTTTTAATTCCCCACGTATTTTCCTGGAAAAGAAGATGCTGAGCCACAACCCCCCTAAAGATATCATGGAGGAGATTTTTGTGAGTCTGCCTGTAAAATCCTTGCTTCGGTTCAAATGTGTAGCCAAATCCTGGCGCGCCCTCATCGCTGACCCTTCTTTTATTGCCAGACATCTTGAACGGTCCAGATCTACCAGCAAGATTCCCCGCCTGAAGCTTATCTTCCAATTGGAAAGTTTCACTCGGGTGCCCTACATATCCTTGATTTCTAAAGACCAACCTTATTGTGTGCCCCACCACATGGAACCTCTCCCTCGGAAGGAGTATCGGGGGTTTCATGGTCACTGTGATGGGATTTTCTGTCTGTACGTGATCAGTGTCACTGAAGAAGATGAAAATGAGAATAAGTTGCTCAACTATTTGTACCCAACAAAAGGAGGAGATAATTATCTGCTGGATAAGAGCAACCTAATCCTTTGGAACCCAACAACAAAAGAGGATAAACTTATTGCGGCGTCTCAGCGCCTTCTACCCAAAGGCATAGCTTCTGTCATGTTTGGATTGGGGTTTGATCCCATTACAAAAGATTACAAGGTTGTTCAACTTTTACTTCCTCTTTTCGAGAATAAACGTCTGGTCGAAGTATATAATCTTAGTACTAATTCTTGGAGGGTATTAGATGTTGTTGTCCCAGATTTTGGATTATGTTATGATAATTGTACGTTTTATTTGAATGGAGCTTATCATTGGTTAGTTTTTGATGACTTGCATGGGATCAAAAGAGAGTTTATTTTGAGTTTCGATTTTAGCAACGAGGTGTTTGGGATGATCCAATTGCCACCTGCAGTTGATTCTTTACGTGGACCAGGCAATATTTTTGTACTTGATCGAAGTCTTGCTTTTGTTCAACATAGTTTCAGAACCCGAGAATTTAAGATTTGGGTGATGAATGAGTATGGTGTTGAAAGTAGCTGGACTGATAAGTTTGAGATTGGACGATTTCATGAGTTGAGATCCGTCTTAGGATCTTGGGGGGATAATGAAATTCTTATTGAAAACTTTGATGGTGAAGTAATTTCTTATAATCTTCAAAATCAACACATGCATGCTCCAAAAACGAATTGTGGTCTTGGCCATGATAGTGTGGTTCCTTTGATGGCAGAGGCCTATGGTTTTGACTATGTGGATAGTTTGGTTCCTTTGGCGGGGAGGAGGATATACAACAAAATATGATGAAGATGTATGCGTATTTTTTTTTCATACTCTTCCTAATTTTTTTTGTGATTTTTTTATTAATTCATTGAATGGTTTTTGTTTTGTTTTGTTTTGACGATGGATGCAGACAATTTATTTTGAATAGAAATCATAAGGCTTAAGCATTTTGTTGGTGTTGGATTTTCCTTCTCTTATTTGAAATTTTAAACAGACCTTGTCTTACATTACTAATACCGGTATTTGATGATGTTGTTAAATTTATATCATTTAAAGTTTAATTATCCTCGGTTAACAATATCGGATCTAATTAATATTAAACTCAGCTCTTCTAATTTTTAAAAATACCTTATTTTGTTTATACCCTAAGAAGATTTTAAATCCAAATCATCTTATGAACTATAGTATAGAATATTCCTTGCAATTTTTTTTTTTTGCCTAGTCACCAATTCTACCCAATTAATATGCAAAATAGCCTACTGTATTAGGACTAAAAAACTTGGAGAGATGCTTGACATCACTTGGAAGTAGATTCTATGCGTTCCACATTAAACCTGAAGTAATAAAAAATCTTGGTAGAACCAAGTTTAAAAATTCAAATGGAGAACTGTTGATATAATATAATGAACAAATATAACAGGAACAAGATTCATATTCCTTAAAATATTAACAGGGCACAAGATAGTTGAGATGCATTTGTCGCTAAATCTCAGTACAATAACTAGACACAGTATCACAGTCATTATTTATATTGGTTTGAATCTCAGCTTCCAAACTCAGTACTAAACTCATCTGCAGTTTTTGCAACTAAGTCCTATCAAACAATCTCTGAATAAAATTCTTTTCCCTCTTAAATATTTTATTTCAACACCAATAATAATAAACTAGCCCATGGTATAAGAAGGGGTGGGCAAGTTAATCACAGTGGTCTTGACCTTGGTCATCATGTTTATGCTGTTTGTAATCCCTTGGGATCCAATTCCACTGTCCTTGATACCCTGCAAGCAAAGCAAAGCATTCTCAGTGTTGGATTCATTTGATTTCCTTGCTCAAAAGGAGTCAAACCTTTGATTTTTACAACAGGTGAAATGTTCAGAAGTTGCAGAGAATTTGATTGGTTCACCTGGAAGGGGAAATGGTCGGGTCCTCGGGCCGGGGCTGAGTTTATCTGAACTGTTCCTGTCTCCATTGCATCACTGATCAGAATTGCTTTGTTCACATCCTTTGTGAACACACAACCCTGCACAGGTTTACGGATCCAAGTTATTTTCATGCTTTACAGAAACATATTCAGGAAACATTTATTAATGTCTTCACATCTGAAAGTGATTAGTGTGACCTCTCATCTTTTCTTGGTCATCTCAAGGGTCATTTTAACTGGGGAGCTTAAAATTGATGAGAGAATTTTTTTTTTTTAATCATAAAATCTAACTAACTATACCTGAAGTCCAAAATTGCTAGCATTGCAATGGTGGATTCCTTCTTCAACAGAATTGATTCTAATGACAGGCAAGACTGGTCCAAACGGCTCCTCCCAAGCAATTCTCATGTCAGGCCTGACATTGTCTAGAAGCAAAGGCCAAATAAGGTTTCCTTCTCTCCTGTACTCTTGGCAGAATGTTGCTCCTTTCTCTTTAGCATCCATGACAAGACCTTCGATGTAGTTCGCGGATGACTCTGTCACCACCGGAGTGATATCACAGTTATTTTCGGGTGGCCCCACAGTCAGTTTTGCTACCTTTGCCTTAACTTTCTCCACCAAAGCATCAGCAACAGATTCCATCACTAGGACAACCTTGACAGCAGTGCACCTCTGACCACTGTTATTGCATCACATCAAATTATTAGAATGTATTGAATCCCACATGAACTAATTAGAAGATTAATTAAAGGTATATAGTCTTAAGGCAATTCCTACCAAATTGGTTTAAGCTATTCAGATAGAAAGACAAACCTAATATATACCTAATCTCCCTAAAATCTAATACAAAACTGGGTTTAGAATGTTGTTTTCTCATAAATTATTATCCGCTTTACTAGTCAGTTATTTCAGGGGAAAAAAAAAAGCATCTAAAAGGGCAGAAAGATGAATATAATTTGTAAACATATTATAGAAACTGTAACCGTGTGCACTTGGTAGCCCAGAGCAAGATATTTTATAGCTTAAGAGAAGCATTTTAGTGTCTTTGGAAAAGGCCTGGCTGTGAAAAGGCATTTTACCTGTATGAGAAGCCTCCTTTTATAATGTTTGAAGCTACTAAATCAAGGTCAGCATCTTCAAGTACAATGCAGGCATCTTTTCCTCCCAACTCCATTTGCAGAGGGATCATGCCTGCCTTCTTTGAAATTGAAATGCCGGTATCTCCACCAGTGAAGCTGAAATACAGAAGGATGAAAAAGCCAGAAATGGAAAAACTTAGGTCCATCTCACACAAGTGGCGAACATGATTTGCCATTAAAGCTCCAGATATAAAGGAAAAAGCTGTTACCTTATACAGTTCACTCCTGGGTGCATTGTAAGGAAATCACCAATCTCAGAGCCTTTGCCAGTGACACAGCTGATTAAGCCTTTGGGAAAACCAGCCAAGTGAAAGCAGTGCACCATATGCAGACAAGAAACAGCTCCCTGAGAGGCAGAACATAGGAGAATAAGAAAAACCAGCTTCCTTGCAATTTCCACGTTAATTTCACTCTTCAAATTAGTTGTATTGAGATTCCCATGTAAATGGAATTGGGAAGAGGCATATAACCAGTTTCACAGGGTGAGAACTGTCGGTGCAGATACTATTTACTTAATAACGGACCCTTTTATCCATAATTCCTTTAACGTGTTTTAGAAATTATTTTGATAATAAGAAATTTGAATTATTTTTAGATAAGAGTTACCTGAGTAGGAGGCTTGAGCACAAGGGAGTTTCCAGCAATCAGCGCAGGGGCAATTTTTGAGACAGCAAGATTTACCGGATAATTAAATGGTGGAATAGCTAAAACTACTCCCAATGGAATCTGAAAATAAGTTGGAGATTGCTTAGATTCGCATCATGTACAAATATCAACATGAAAGAAGGACATCAAATGACTAGTTGACAGAGCAAGGTAGTAATTATATTTATTGTAACTATCAGTAACTAACATAAGAATGTACTTTCAAGTTATAGTGTCTATAATGTGGTAAAAAAGTGATTAGAAAATACCCTCAAATTATCCCAGATTATTTTTTACTCCGGTACTTTATGGCAAAGATAGTTCTACTTCTGAACATGCATATTGTCTGAAGTGCTTTGGCTCCAGATGTTGGAAATTTACCTTGAAAATAACTTACAACTAAGATTGATCCTATTGTCCACTCAGTCATCAAATTATTGCATTTAGGTAATTATTCTATTGTCCACTCAGTCATCATATTATTGCATTTAGGTAATTATTCTATTATTAGCAAGATAAAATCGTGCGTGGCTGCATCAGAAGAACAGGACCTTTTTCAGTTTTCTAATTATGGAGAATATTATAAAGCATGGTTCATGGCGGAGAGAAACATTTGATTATAAGCTGCAATGAAAAAGATTCAAATCAACAAAAAGGATGGTCTCACACACACACACATGCTTGCATAGGTGCGTGTGCGCGTGTAAGTGTTGATCAACTTATTTTTTTTATTGGGTAACCAATAGTATTCCTCCTCCATAAATGAGGGTTTATTAATAGAATTTGGAGTTACTATCCTATTTTTCTTTAAAAAATATAAACTTATAGTCTTTTCCATTTTTATCTTCTTCCATTTAGGTTAAAATAGGGACTTATTAGCAGCACCGTCCAGTCCCCTTGTAACAATTGGTTCATATATGGAAATTAAAAGTGCAAAGCATACAGTGAAAAGAATGTGCTGAAAATATATACCTTGGATGTTAGGCAATACTTGGTCCTTTCATTTCCAGGAAAACTATCAGATACCAAGAACTTCCCCTCTCCCAAAATCCTCACCCCTTCTTCAGCACAGTAAGAAACCAGATCCCCAGATCTCACAACCTTCCAAAAAAAAAATAAATAAATAAGTAAACAGTAACCAGCTATCTTCCAGTTCAATTTCCCAGTCTTAAACAATCATATATTTTTGGCATACAACCCAGAAACAGAAAAGAATATGCACCTCTGTGACTGAATCTTTAGCTGGTTTTGCTATTTCTTTCACAAGACACTCTGCAATTGGAGCTTTGTGTTCTTTAAGAATTGCAGCTGCCTTGTGAAGAAGTTCAGCTCTCTTCCATAGTGGGGTCTTTGCCCATGACTTCTGTGCAGATTTTGCTATATCCATCACTTTATTGACCTCTTCTTGTGTACAAGCTACAACAATATCATAAAAAGATTCAACAAGACATTTTCTCATGTAACCTTACAAGCTTCCTTTCACTATCTCTGCTACAGAATACCACAAATCCCAGCTTTAAAAACATTGTTTATACGTAGAATCCTGCCAATTTTCAGCTCCGAGAACCATTTCATCCAAAAATTCAAAAGGCAAAAATGTAAAAACCTTCAACCCAGCACAGTGATATCGCTAATTTACTATTAACGTGACAAATTTGGTAACAGCAACATCCACTGGCAAAATCATCAAGTTAAGAAGAGAGAAGATGATAAAAATTAATTACCCTGAACTTTGTACTGAGTCTTTCTGGTATTGGGATTAACAATAGGAACGCTTTTCCCAGAAGATGACTTCTTCCATACTCCATCAGCATAGTACTTGTAAACTTCTCCATCAAAAATCTCTGCAAAAACTCCAGTCCCAGCCATTTTTAAGAGATACCCAAATACACAAATGAGATCCCCAGAAAAAAAGGAACAGAGTTTCGCCCTTTTCCTCCTTTTTCCCCTCCCACCAACAAGTTCTAGACTCGTATTTATATATAAATGCAGAGGAAGAGTGAGAAGCAGAAAAAAACTAGATGAACGTTAGGAGGATTGTCTGGTATAATACGGTTTGGGGTTTTGTGGGTGGCGGTTTGGTGAGTAAGTGAAGAGAGTGAAGGGAAGTTTGGTTTAAAAGTAAGTTGAGCCACGCGTTGGTTTGGTTTTGTCTTCTCCAGAACTGATTAGGTGGTTCAAAGATTGCCACTTGAAAACTTGATTATCTCACGTTCTCAGTTCAATGTTTAATTAATTACTTTCGTCTTCCTCCTACAAGAGTTGATTTTTCTGTTGCTGAACTGTCCAAGTGAAGCTCATTTGGCACCTTTCATTGACGAAAACGGTTAAAAGAATATTTCAAGACATTGCCTTCTCTTTCTTCACCCATATATTAAAAAAACAGAATTACAGTTAAGTCCCATGAAAAAATAATTACTGAGAAGTTTTAATAACAATTTGAGCAGTCTAAAATGACAAATCTTATAGTAAAAAATAATAACTTCTAGAATTTGTTTTGTAATTTTTTTTCCTTTCATAAAACTTGATTATAATTCTCTCTATATTAAATTGGTATGTGAATTGTGAGGGATGCGAGGGGAATAGTTTTTAAAGATATATGTGGTGAAGTGGACACAAAATTGTACTGATAAAAGTAGATTAATTCGTTGTGTGGTTCTCATAAATTTGGACAAGTTTTGGTCCGCAATGAGATCTGCACTCGCTTATCTGACATAATATTTAATATTTATGTATTAATGAAATTTAAATTGAAAATACAAGTCGTTATCATCACAGATGGTAGAGGAAGAGTGATTGCCATGGAAAGAAGAAAGTCCAGAGTGGAGAACACACCAAAGTTATCAACAAGTGTTGGGCGCAGAAGTAAACCGCTTACGTTAGCTAGATTAAAACACAAGTTCAACAAATCAACTCTTTAAATGACGTGCTCTGTTTTCTTGGATCTAAATTAATCGGTTGTTCAAGTACCTAATGTAGATGAAGGATAGGGCCTTGAATAAATGCCAGAAATATGAAAGTTCACATCCTGTTAGGTTTCAGATCAACTATTTTATGTAAAGAGAGTTACAATTATGTTCGAAGAAAGAGATTTAATTACCCTAAAGTCTGTTAGTAAGTGAAGAATATGTAATACTCCCTCCGTTTCTCATTATAAGAGACAAATAACCGAAATACGTTGATAAAAAAAACAATTAAAATTAGTTAATAATAATTAAAGTGTAAAAAGTATAATTTTTTTCCAAAAATACCCTTATTAATAAGGAGAGAGAGAGCATAAGAGAGAACAATTAAATTATTAAAAGAAAGAGAAGTGGGAGGGAGAGAGTGTGTGAGTTGGAGATAATAAATATGGGTAAAATAAGAAATCAACACAAAAAAGTAGAGACAACTTTTAAGTGTCTCTTATATATAGAAACATGCTATAAACATCAAATGTTTCTTATAATAAGGAATGGAGGGAGTAACAAGTTTCAGAATAGGCAATAACAATAGATTTAGATTAATCATTGTCATTAGAATTTTTTTATAATTAAAATTTTGATAATTAAAAGTTTACTTGAAACTTTTTAGTAATTCCTCCTTTTATGTGTATGTTTGTGTGTATGAAAAACACGTTTGAGGTAAAATTGCATCATTACATGTTTATATATGTTTGGTCCACGTATTTCAGAAGGACTCCATGCCACATGGGTAGCAATTTATAAATTGTTAATTTTTTTCAATTTTTTTATTTGTTTGTTTCTAGAAGCTAGAGTGATGTCACCATGTCTCTATCAGTAAAAAAAATTAAATTATTGAGCTTAATAAATACTACCTCCTGTTCTTAATATAAGACCTTATTTGATTTTATTTTGGTCATAAATATAAGATTTTAATCTACTTTACCTCTCATATTTATGTATTTTTTCTCAAAACAATCCTTCAAATAATAGTAGTTCTAACCAATACAGTTGATTAGTAAGGATATTTTAGAACAAACAATACTTATTTGTTACAAATAACTAACTTAACTTCTTTCCTTCATCTCTTTAAACTAGTCAACTACCTCTTATAATTAGGACCGAAAGTAGTAAATAACAATATGGCATCCGGGGATTTTGGAGTCTAGCAAGGTAATTATGCAACCTCAATTCTTCGATGTGAGTTTAGGTATTTTGTGCTAAAAAAGTGAACTTTGTGTGTGTGTATTAAGAAGTTAGAGCATTTTACTAATTAATAATTTACTTATCGATTCAGATTAAGATTACGTCTTTTTTCAAGTGGCAATATAAACATTTGCTTGTCACAATTAGTTTAGATGTTAATTATGGAGGATCCCACCATCTTCATCATTATTAGGCCACCCACTTAAGTTGAAAATGTGACACAAAACGCAACTTATCACCTTTTTTTTTTTTTTTTTACCAGCAAAACGCAACTTATCACCTTATTGGCTCCTTCACAGATCAATATTATTCTTTATCAATTTAACATGATATATGTTCATATGTGATAGAATTTATAATAATTTTCCCGATATATCTTTATAAGTTATAAATCATATACTTTATCCTAGGTTAAACCTATAACTTGTTTAATACGGCATCTATAATTGTAAGAAACAATACTTATCATGAAATATGAACAATACTACTTATTCTAAGTTTCATGTAAACGTAAAACCAGAATTATTACCTCAATATATGTATGTATATATGCATAAGTGACTTATTTGTACATTACAAGTTTGAACCGTTGGATTGAAATTGAGATTTAAATTTGCTGATGTTTAAAATTATAAATTAATATATATTTTTAAATTTAATTTGAACAATTCACACCTATAACAAAGACGAAATAAAGAGAAAATAAATGAATAAAGATAAAGTCCAAATTCACACGATGACATATAGTATCTTCGGTTTTAAGATCCAATTATTGCACTGTAAATTATATCTTATACTAATCCCAGTTCTAATTATAAAATCTCCTTTGTAATTTATAAATAAGATCTTATAATTAGGATCAGATGTAATGGTATTTAAGATCAAAGTAATATATAGAGACAGAAGCAGAGTTACACAGGAAAAGAAAGGAGAAGAAAGAGAGGGGTAGGGGGTGGGTAGAGAAATGAAGTAGGTAGGTGGTGATGAGTGATGGATGAGGAAAGTGACATGATATAAGGGTCTCACCTTTATAACTAAGAGCCACAAGAATTTTGCGGGCCATCTATTGAAATAGTTTCAACCACATGCTTTGCAAATTCTTTATGCACCACACATAAATGTATATAACTTGGACCTTCTGCTCTTTTTTTTCTCACTAGAGCATAAGTAATTTATTCGAAATACTATCGGATACTGAATGTGGACATCTCTTCTAATGAGGATTTGGACATTTGGTACAAGTAACTTGAACTTCTCACTAAAATGTTTCCGTCACAATGATTTAGACCCTTGGACTCTAGAAACATTGACTCCCCTCTGTATGGGCTGACATACTGGGCCATTATGCTTATGGTTTTATGAAGCCCATTGCATATGGGCTCACAAGGAGCGATGGCTACCCCTACTCATTGGGCCTCCTCATGGATTTTTTGTGTGGACTAAATTTTAAATAAAGCTTTTTATTAAATTTTAAAATTCACGAGTTCACGAGAGCGAGTCGGGGATTGGATATATAGTTTGGCGGGGATCAATGTTGTCATAATCTGCGACTTCCCTCATCGGCTTATCTTTCATTAGCTTTCGGCTTCAGGAGCGGGACGCTAAGTTGAAAGCTCTGTATTTTTGTTTTAAGGTAGTCATCTCGCTTGATTCATTCTTCATATGCTGTAGCTTCTTAATTCGATTTTGCGCTTCAGGCTTTCGTGAATTCTTAGGTTAATTGTTGGTTTTTGGCCTCTGGCTATTTTCTGTTTGCAGATTTTATTGATTTGGTTGTGAGGGATTAGTATTTTGCGACGATCATCAACCCTGAGTTTCCCATTCAGGATTACCGAACTAAATTCAACTCTGCGTCTCTGGTTGACGAACCCTAGAGATCCGATGCATCCCAAATGTTGCCGGGACACCCAAATCCTAGTTCAATCGCCGGAACTAGGAATTCCTTCCCGATCTGTAGCTGTTTCCCCCATCACCAATCAAACACTTTTCCACCTCAAACGCTCTTTCTTCCCCAAATCGCTCTCTTCCCAACTCCTATCGTCGTTCTATTTCACTCTTAATGGCAGGCCTCTTGCCGATCATACCCCTATTTCGGTTTCTCAAATTCCTCCCTTTTCCACCCTGATTTTGCGATCAAGGTCTCGTGGCGGTGGTGGCGATGGCGGTGCAACTGGTGCAGAGTCCCGTGATTGTTACCTCAATATGTACGCTGAAAAGAAGCCCGATAAAGTGGACCCGAATGAACAGAGGCTATCAAAGTGGCTGAACTGTGCCATATCGAATGAGCCGTTGAGGGAACCTTGTGTGGTCGATAAACTAGGGAATATATTCAACAAGGAAACTCTGGTGGAGGCTTTGCTGAAGAAGAATCTGCCTAAGGAGTTTGGGCACATTAAGGGTTTGAAGGATATGATAAAAGTTCAGTTTTCTGTAATTCCTGGAATGGAGGCTGCAAATGGTGAGACGCGTTTCCAGTGTCCTATTTCGGGGCTTGAATTTAATGGGAAGTATAAGTTCTTTGCGTTGAAGAACTGTGGCCATGTTTTGAGTGCTAAGGCTTTGAAGGAGGTTAAGTCCTCATCTTGTTTGATTTGTCACCAGGATTTCTCAGAAACAGATAAGATACCGATCAATGGGAATGAGGAAGAGGTAGCAGTGCTGAGGGAGAGAATGGAGGAGGAGAAGGCTAAATTGAACGAGAAGAAAGCAAAGAAGAGCAAGAATGGATCGAGGATAAATGGGGAGAAGGACAGCTTGAGTTTGGAACAACCGAGGCTGAGCGGGAGCAAACATGGTATGGATGTTAAGGTTGTGGATAAAGCTTCTGCTAAAGTGAAAGGAAACGGGAAGGTTGTGAATGGGAATGCTGCTTTAAATGGTGTGGCTGATGGTGCAACCAAGCGTTTTAAGGCTGCTGATATGGCCCCTCCTAATGCTAACAAAGAAGTTTATGCATCAATATTCACTTCTTCAAAGAAGTCAGATTTCAAAGAAACATATAGTTGTAGATCCCTACCTCTTGGTAGAAATTGATTGTTGCATGCAGCATGAAAGTATGTACTACCTACCTAGCCGCCTGTGGTTTTAGAAGTTACTTGCTCTGTAAGTTCTTGATCAACATATTATAATTGGATTGCCGTGGTTTTGGAATGATGGCTCACTGAGAGAATTAACTTCGAACCTGTGATCTTGTTACTTTTTCTTCTCATCATTATTTATTGGTTGTTGACGCATTGACTTTCTTAGAATATGGATATGCTTTCTTATTCGGACACTGTTAGGGTAGTGTTTAGTCTGTTATGTCTTCCTGAACATAGCATCAAACCCATACTCATCTTACATTCTTTTGGGCTTGATTTCTTTACCATCTATGTTGGTGAAATGTGAGTGACAAATTTAACTCTTGTTTGTACTTGGAATATGGTGCCAATATTGTGTATAGCTGGGAAAACTATTCTTAGATGAAGGCAGGGCAGCCAATCTCATGGATTAGCTGTGTTTTAGATATTAATTTTTTTTAGCTGAAATTACACTACAAAATATCTCTTACATTTAGAGACCAGAGGAGTATTATTTTTGCATATGAAGTTTTCACAAATTTCCCATTACATGGAATATGCAAAATAATTAATTAATTTGCAAAACTGTTGGTTTTATAATATATATTGCCAACAACTGCTAGCTATAGCTCATTTGTTTTGGACTTTTGGCGATTCATGAGAAGTGCAAATTTCAATTACCTTAACAGCAGATTAATAATTTATAAATTCACAGATACAGTTATCATAATGAGTATAACTATAACATGACATTAGCATCTTCACTGCTAGCTTCCGTGAAACATTAGCATCTTCACAACAGAAATATGATGCTTGTGCAGAGTATAAATGGGGAAATCTTCTCAGGTGAAGGCAACCAATCTCATGGGTTTTTTTTTTTTTTTTTTGGGGGGGGGGGGGGGGCATAGACTCATGGATTAGCTGTTTTAGGTTTCGTTTGGAATCACTATAAACATTTATAAGTATGTTTTAAGTAAATTGAAGTAAAACTTTTTTGTATGCTTAGTAAGCATTTCATAAATTAATTGAAAAATTACCTAAAATCCATTTCACACGTGTTCTTGAAGTGATCGTGGCTTCTCTTTCTGCTTATTTTATTTGGGCCTGAGGATATATCTTTTTGCGTTATTGTCCCCTTACGCTCCCTGTAGCACTGCATGCTTGAAATTTGCACCATGCATTGCACCAAAACATTTCCACAGGCTACCGGGATTATTCAACAAGTGCCGAGTAATGCGATTAAAATTACTTTTATATCAAATATTTAGGCCTATTTAGTTTCTCGTAAAAAACATTTTTTATAAAAAAAATTAAAAAAAACTTGTTTGGTAATTTATTTTTAGTTACGTGTTTAGAAAGAAACAGTAATATGTTTTGATAAACTAAAATTTTTTTAAAAAATATTTTCTTGTTTTTATTTTTTGCATTTTTTATCTTTCATTTTGGAGAATTGGAGAAATTTTCTTTTCGCCACTCACCCCTCGACAGCCATGTCGTCACTTCACCATCGACAGCCACCATCGCCACCCCTGGGTTCCCACCGGCCATTGTTGACAGCCGCTGCTCGTTACATGTTCTTGGACACAAATATTTTGTTACAGGTCAGCAATAGGGTGTTTCTGCTGCTAAACGTTCTGTGATGGAAATTAGATACATATTTTTTCATCGTTAAAAATTTAGCAACTTCATTTCGTCAATAATTTTAGCAATGAGATTTGCCACAAATTAAGTTCGATCGCTAATTATGTTAGTAATAACATGCGTTTTCTTTTTGTAGTGGTAAACTTGGATTAAAATTTCCCTTCTACATTTACGTCTAATTTGGATTAATAACTTTGTTTTTTTAATATAAATAACAAGTTTAGTGTTTTTTTAAATATAATATTTTATAATCATTATCCAAACAAATTTTTGTTGCTTTTGTTTTCAAAAGGTAATATAAATGAAAATTTTATAAAATTATTTTGAGAATAAAAAAAAAAAAGAAACAAAGTAGTCCTTAGTTTTCCTAGTAGTCATTCTTATCTGATTATTTTCTTGTGGCGAAGGCGCCTTTCGGTAAAAATGATACCGTCTTTTCTGTCGGGAAGAAAAATGCTCATACCATAGTAAAAAATTAAATTAAAATCTATTTTTAAGGTTTTCAATAAAAAGTTGTAGCTTTTACATTTTCCATTACGTGCAGATGCAGATGAGGAAGGTTCTTGTGTAATACTACCTGGTTCTAATTATAAGAATTAATTGACTAATTTGAGGATATTAAAGAAGTAAGTTGAGTTAGTTATTTGTCATAAATATGTGTTATCTTTTCCAAAATATCCTTACTAATCAAGTATATTGGCTAGAACTATCATCATTAGAAGGACTGCTTTGGAAAAAAAATATAAATATAAGAGACAAAGCAGATTTGGGTCTTATATTTAGAATCAAAATAAAAGTCAAACAAGGACAGGAGGTAGTATCGTTCACACCTTGAATATTTAATTTATAACCTCAGAAACGTATTTTTAAGATAATTCAACAATAAACAGGTTCAATCTTTTTTAAAAATACTCCATACTTGAAATTATGTGAATTTTTCTTATATAAATTTTGCATAATAGCCATATGCACTATTTCACTGATAAAAACTCAACAAACATGCGGGAGAAAACGATGCATGAAAGGTACTATAACTTTTTTTCTGCGTTACAGTATTTTTTTTCCGTTGATAATAAGTAAATATATATATAAGAGCTTTATCTATATATATTGAAAATATATTATTTTATTAGTAATCAAATTAACGGATAAGATATGAAATAATGAAACTATCATCTAATTGTTTTGCATATTTTTGTATCATATGTAAATACACTAATGATATGTACAATCACTAATTATAGAAGAACAAACAATTCGATATGAAATTTATATTTTACATTGATATTAACTGCATTAAATCAAATTCACGTGATATTTAAGTCTATATTATCTTGAATAAAATTAAATTTAAAAACCAGAGCAAAAAAATGATGACACCATTTGTTATAAATTGGTGGCGCAACTTGTCCCAAATTTAGAACATTACTTGTAACATTTTAATCGAGACTGTGTTTTAATAAATATAATGAAAATTTTAAACCTTTATAAGCTTTATTTAAACCATCAACCTTTTTTACAGCCTATTTCACCTCTATCGGATTCTGAGGATGATTAGTTGGGAATAAAAATGAAATGTAAATTATTGGAGTTTGAAAAATGAGAGCATTTGTATTAGAGTTTGAAGAAAATGTTCATTCTAAAAACAGGAAACCTAGAAAGAAGATAGGCGCGGAGGTGAAATTTGACGACGATATTAAATTCATTTGAACTATTGAAAGAGAAATGATATTAATTTCAAGAAGAATAACAACGAAGGTGTTTGATGAATCTGAATTTAGTGTATTATTGACATTCTCTGGTACCGTCTTAAATGAAAATATGTGTTGGCTTACATTAAATATGTCCCACTACGAGGATGTAAAACACATGATGTGATAATCTAAGCTTAAAGGTGATTTGAGAACACTTGTAGAAACAATGGGAGTAGACTGAAACAAGGCTCCTATTACGAAAAGATGCGACTCCAATGATATGGCGATGCTGGCAAGAACGTCCACCACCATTAATATGCATGAAGATGATGCTGTGATAAGGGAGTAGATCGGCAACACACTTAGCTAATGTGCTAGCCAAAGAAGCTCTGAACAGTGGCGTAAGATTACAACTGCTGGGATCTGAAGCTATTAGTGTGCTTCTAAGTACTATAGTTGATGTTTTCTGCTTTTCCCTTGTATCTTAAAAAAATGGGAGTAGACTGAGTTGGTATTTATTTCTCATCAAAGTTTTGAAATGATAGAGATTTGTAAGCTCATAAACTTACATGAGAATTTTGTATATGTTTTGTCTGGTTTAAGTTCTAATGCATAAACATGCACTCCTCCATGAAAACAAGTGATCAAATTATTGAAACCAAAAGGTATTTTCCAGATCGCAATTTGTTCTTTTAATGACTCTTTTTTTTTTTAATTTCCCTCTTTTATCTCGCGCTTACTTGTTCTCTGATATAAAGAGCATTATATTTGATAAATCATTTAATTGTTAAGAATATAAACTTTAAAATAATTTTTTTAAAAAAACTATTATTCGGGTACAATTTGATGCGAAGGAAAATTAAAAAAAAAAGTAATTCACTGTTGATAATAAATTAATAATCATAAACTATTTCTCACAATGATAAAAAATAATTAAAAGAAGTTCCTACTCATGTCAAGATAAAAAAATGCTTATTATATATGTTATCTAAATAAAACGTAAAAATACGTTTTACATGGAGAAAGAAAACAAAATAAATATAAAAGGATATATCATCAACGCCCAACATGAACACTAACACATAAGAGGAAAATATAAGCTAATGAGGCCTATACTCCATACCTCAGCATAAAAACAGTTACACATTAGAAACACACTTTACTTAAAAAGTTTCTTCGAACCACCTGACTGAACCTATACAATAGGGGGGGGGGGGGAACCTAAGACCTTGCTACAGGATATTCCAACCTCAATTTTATGAAAGTCCCTGAGTCATATATATATATATATATATATATAGGAAACAAAATAAATAATAAGAAATGCTAGACAAAGTCCCTCAATCATCAATTCATCATCCACAATGGTTCACAAGTATAGCAAAGTACTTTTGCGCGTATATCCTGTGGCCAAAAGCTGATAGGCTAATGTAATTGTAAAGACAACCTAAGACCTTTTTTGAGGATATGAAATTAATAAATGAAACCTAACACCACATGGCTATGGCTTCCTTTCCCAGTCTCGTTCCATGAACGAAGAGAAACTGAGCTGATTTCAAAAACCAAATTAACAAGATAACTTATTACCATTTTTGGTTGGTTAGAAGATAAGGAAGATGCTAATCTCAAAACCTAACACCAACTTGATTCCTCCAAATCACACCATATTTAGTTTTTGGATCATCGAATTTCACCATCTGGATAGAAGTTGAAATTTAAACCAAAAGATAGAAAGAGACGATGGCCAGAGAGAGAGAGAGAAACGAAGCAAGTCTTTTTCATTCAGTAGTTCTATGTCTTCCTCTTTTATGTTTCTGAATAGAATCAAGAGAAAGTCAATAGGACTGCTGAATA